TTTTCCTTCTATCTTTATTTAAATTTTTTTTTTTTTAAGAATGATTTATTTTCAAAGAATGTGACATCCATATATATAAATACTATTCTTTGAATAGGAGAATAATATGTATACCACTTTTGATTTTCCTCATACCCTAGAAAGATACACTTGAAGTTTTTGGGATCAATTTTTTTATTAGATTTATGATTATGATTGTGGATAAATCTAGTACACTCAAATAGTTTAAGTGAAATATTATAAATTATACTAATATTAGGAAAACACAAAGTACATTGATTTGAGTTTTAAACTAAAGTATATTTGTAGGCAACCGATTTATAAGATAGTAGGCAATGAGGATGGCGTCACCCCAATAACATTTAGGATTATTAGTAATAAATATAATGTCTCTAGCCACCTCTAAGAAATATCTTCTTCTTCTTTTTAGGTATACCATTTTATCGAAGTGTGTTGGGGCAATAATTTGGATTGATAATATCATTTTGATTTCGATCAAAATGTGGTAAAATATTTTGTTCCTCTATAGGAATAGATTATTTGAATTTTAGCAGAGCATTGGATTTTAACCATATTTTGAAAATTTTTTAAACTTGATTTTAAGTAAAATTTATCTTTTGACAACGAACACACAATAATGTGATCATCAATAAAAGTGATGACTATTGTTTGGAGTGGCTTTATATAGCTTAAATTTAACAAGTTTTGATATATGGATGGATCCATATAGCACTATTATAAGTAAAAAAGGATTGGTGGCTTTATATAGCTAAGATTTGAAGGCAACTCTTTAAAGTTTGGCAGGTTGATAGATTTCATATTGAAAATAATTTTATAGCCAAACAAAGAAGGAAATAGGTTCTTAAGGTAAGGAAAACTATGATGACCTAACCTATAATGTGATAACATAACTAGATCTCCTTTTTCGAGAGTAGAAAGTCTTTGTTGATAGTAAGGGCATGATTACTCTCCTTGGAAACTTCATTAAAGTCGTAGAGCGCTCTGACCTTGCTAGTTCTGTTAATCTGCTTTATGGATACGTGGTCCCAAAATTAAGATTTTGATAAGAATGTGATTTTACATATGTAATCATTTGCTATTTTGCTAATAGATAAGAGGTTGAAAGAGATACTTGGAATATCTTAGACAAAATTTAAATAGCTTAATTCTAGTGTTTTCTATCCCAGCAATAGGGGATAGAGATCTATTAGCAATTGACTTTGAGATTTCCAAGTGAGGGAGTATAAGAGAAGAATAGGTGAGCATAACCCATCATATGTTCTAAACTTCTAATGCTTCTTAGTCAATGATTTAGGGTTCCTAGCCTTCCATAGTATTGTTAAGAGCAAGAGAAAAATTATATTTCTAGGCTAGAAGGGTGGAGTTGGCAGCTTTTTAAAGTGCGAGTAATTTGTATAAAAAGATCCCATTATTCTGTGTTTAAGGAAATGTTGCCATGGTTTTCAGTACTTTTCATCTTTAGTCTATTACTTTTAGTTTGATAAACACTAGTGTCTTGTAATGATTTATAGGATTGTTCTGATTTGTTAATTTGCTGTAAAATTTCTAACAATTTTCTCATGTTCTATTAGTGTTTTTATAAATATTAGAGCAAAGGTTTCCTCTCCTTCTATGCCTTAAATTATTTCTCTTGGATTTTGCTCCAAACTTCTGATGACAAGGTCGTATTTTTTAGTTATGAGAGAGTTTTGGAACTTCCAAGTATTATTCTTTATCTATTTTCTTCTCTTATGACTTTAGCATATGCTTCTTCAAATCTGGGTTGTAAAGAAATCCCTAGGATTCTTCCATGCATCTCGTCTAGATATTTATTGAGATCTGCAAGTAAATCATAAGTTCTTATTTCATCCACAAGTTTGATGTATATATCTGCGCACTCCCTACACCAATCATTTTGCTTGAAGATATCTAGTTCTTTCTAAATTTTTATGACATTGGTGAAGTATTATATGATACTCATACTTCCTTGCTTGAGGCCATGAGCATAATCCCATAATTCACACAATTGAAAGGAATTTTTTAGATTTTTGTAAGCCATATTAACTGTCTCTCAGATTGTTTATGTGGTGTTGTAGATCAATTACAATTATCCAATGTGTTCTTCCATGGAATTAGTAAGCCAAGACATTACTTAGGCATTGTTAGTATCCCGTGATGGAAAGGAAAGTTTAGCCTTTTCAGGTTAGGCATTCAATCTTCTCTCTTTCTGGGATCACCATCTGAACGGAGCGAGTCCATTGGAAGAAGTTCTTATTTAAGTTGTAGAAAATAATTTGAGTGGTGAGTGCTCCTCAAATTTTGTCAATAGGAATTATTTCTTTTCTTATCCAAAAAGCAACGACTGCATCCTTAATAAAGTATTATTGAATGTTTTTAGGGCTTGGATTAGAGGTGTAGTTAGGGTTTAGGCTATGTGTAGTAAGGAAGTGGAGGATAGGGTTGATTGAAAGGCTTACTAGGGATTTGTGGAATTTGGGGAGGGAGGGAGGCGCACAACTGTAGAGTTCAGGTTTTTAATTGTGAAGGGAATTCAAGATCTTAAACCTTACGTTTTTTGTGTTATGTGGAGTAAGATGAGAGAGGTTGTTATGTTTAGTGAAAAAGGCCTAGGCCCAGACAGGGAAGGAGGAAATAAAGTAACATAAAAGATAACTCAAGAAAACTCATCAAAGAAGTCTCCAAGTAGAAACTACCTAGCTGTCACCACAATTGCATGTAAGCAACCAAGCAAGAAAATAATTTATTCATCAATTCATAACATTATAGATGGACCAGAAAAAAGTGAGTCACTTTTTCTTTTTCACATACACCAGTTGTCCATGTACCAGTAGAAGATTCGGCAGCCTTGCTACATTCCAAGAAACATAGGAGGATTATATGTGGGAGTGGTAAGCAGAGGCAGCTAAGGTTAGTAGAAAGGGTGTAGGCTAGAGATTGGAGGAGGAAATAAAGTAAATTCCAAAGATAACTCTAGAGAACTAATGAAAAATATTTCCAAAATGAAGCCACCAAATCATCACCACAATTCCATTAAAGCAACCAAGCAAGAAAATGATTCATTTATTGATTTTCCAAAGTTATAGGAGATTATAACAGACAAAATACAAAGCAATCCTTCTTGAAATTGTCAGTTAAGCTAAATAAGAAAAAGCTGTTCCAATTGATTGCAATCTTCATGCTTACTCTTTTGAGTGACGGGCCAAGTTAATTTGGAAGGTGAGTGGTCTTGGTTTTGAACACATGTTGCTTATAGAAGGGTACAGTGCACTTGGATTTTGCCACATGTTGGAATTTGATTTAGGAGGCGCTAGCCATATTTGATCTAAATCTTTTTCTTTGAATTTTGTGCATGTTGATAATGATGATATTTGATATAGTCACTGGTCCATATAAATGAAATTGTTTTGCTTTACATAATGCCATGTTGAGAAGTTAAATTATCTACGTTCTTGGATTGATATATTTATTATTGTCCAACTTATTGGCGCCCTTTCTCTCTTAAGGGATATTTCTAGCATCAATTGTTTTGATGACAAGGGAGGAAAGAGATTGCATGGCATGACCATTGATAGCCTAAGCAAACTACATAGTGACTTGTGGTGGTATACTACAAAATGTCAAAAAGGTCCAATATAGTGCACCTACTATTTATGGAAGGTTATTTTAGTCCCAAACTATTTAATGCATCCAATTTAATCCTTCTACTCAAAACTTTCAAAATAGTCCACTAACTCCTCAAATATGATCTAAAATAATCCAACAAAGAGACTTTTTTGGATCATATTTGATGAGTTAGGGATTAAATTGAGCACATTAGATACCTATGATTAAAATTGCCCAATAAAAATGGTCTAGGCATGATTTTGACCTTTTTTTCTTCTATGTGCGTGTGCACTCTTAATATTGTGCAACCTTATATTATTGAGAGAGGCTTGTTCCTATAATTTTTTTAGAGGATATATAGAAATACCAAATATATTACTAATTGAAAGTAGAGCACAATGTCAATTACATATATGAGTGTGTGCGTGCACGCTTTCAATTTTGTGCACCTATCTAATTTTGAGAGAGACTTTTTCCTATGCATGTGCATGTACTCGCGAGTGCTCTCAATTTTATCCTAGAACTTTTTTTATAGGATAGATTATCCCAAATATATTACTAATTAAAAGTAGAGCACATTGTCAATTATAGATAAGTAGACTCATGCCTCTTTATAGATAAGCAGGGTACAAGACCAGCTACCAATAGATTCATAGAGAATTGGGGAATTTTTAGTTTAAAAAGTTCGCATGCCATAATTGAACTTGTACGTCTATTTTAGAAATGAGGATCATGTTGCTTGTGCTATAGCTCTTTAGTGTTGCTTCTATACCTTGCACGAACAAAATAGAGAAAATAGCAATTATCTTTTGAAGGCAACAAGCGTTTTGTTCATGGTCATTTCTCATAGTCTATATTTGGGAAATGCATTATTCTTTTTAAAGATTGAAAATACATATCACACACACTATTGGCTCTATCTTGTACATCAATACTTTATTTTGAAAAGCCTTTGAAAATGTTCTGGGCTTCATTCACTATCATTAATGCCTGCTGTCATTCTTTTTTGTTTTTCATTTTCTTATATCTCTTTGAGCATCGATTAATCTCAATTATCTGAAACTGGACAAAACTATTGTGAATTTCTATCTACATATTCCATCGGAGGCCTCCCCCCTCTTGCCTAGTGAGCAAAAAAGAATTTGTCTATGCATTCCCAAACTCCATTTTCTTAACCCGGATGTCTAGTATTTGGTTTAATATTACATAAGGCTGAGTGTAAGAAAATTTGGTTGTGCTATTTCGCCGTTTCTGAATTTCTTTGCTGATCATCATTATCCTTGAATTATCCCAATTATTTTCTTTCCAATTATTAATAGTAGTTTGATGATATGTGCAACCTTTTGCATTTTTTAATTTGTCTTGGAAATTCTTAGGTATTATATGCGCAGCGGTGTATGGATGAGAATGATATGCCAACAATTTTCAACAATATGTTTTTTTCACGCTAAATTAAGCTCAGAAGGCTCATAGTTGGGAGAATGTGTTGGCTACAACTTTGTCATGTCTACACTTGAAATCTTCCTAACGAAGCACATACTGGTAAATTGATCTCTCTTATTTATTTATTGCTTATTAGTTTGTGTTGCTCAACTTGTATAAGTATTCATCCTATATTTTAGTGTTAGGTATTGCGTAAAGTTGGCTTCAATTTAGATATTGCACTTTCTTATGAAGGCTGTTATAGGCTTCTTTAATAATCACGGGCATCCATCTTTGCCTCTCATGTTATATCTTTCGACATATCCACAACAACTATTATTATTAGTACATCTTTTGTTTTAAATTTAGATGCCACTTCTCAGAGGAAAATAATGATCTTTTTTCATTCCTTCGCCTGTCTTCTCTTGCCCCAACCATTGTTGTTGACAGTTCCCTTTCTCCCATATCTAGAAAGAGTGTACATTCTTCAAAATATACCCCTTTCAGAAGTTTTGTTTCCCCTAGTTTCTACTTATTTTATAGTTTATTTACTGTAGTGCCAAAACTCACAATTGTTCAATAACCTTTTATCCCTCATTGCTTCTCTCAAGCTCAATATCTCGGCTCAAGGAAGATGATTAGTGTTAATATTGAAGTCAGTGACATCTACTACTTTACTACTAATTCTCCTTTTATTTTTTTCTATTATCATTAGTCTATGGTTGGCACTATCAGCTGAATCATTCTCCTACTAATAGACTTTGAGATTATATTTATTATCTCATCATTGCTGTCATTTGAATGTCCTTTTGATTTGTTACATCATCTTGTTTCTTTTCTTACCTATCCTATTAGCCGTTTTGAACTAACGCACTTAAACATTTGGTGCACCTAGTCAGGTTCTTACTCACTTTAGATTCATATATATTGTTAAATTTATTGATGATTATTCAAGGTTTGGATTTAATTAATCAATGTCGGTATAAAGTCCTCTATGTATTTCTTTTTTTTTTTTCAAGTTCAATTCTCTTCATTAATCAAAATCTTATGCATTGATAATACATGGAAGTTTATTCTATCCCCATTTTAAATATTTTGTTTTAATTATAGTATTATTTATCAAATTACTTGTTCATTTATCCTTTGGAAGCTCCTCTTCTTATGGCTACCCTACTACAATGTTTATTCTCGATGGCCTTGATATCTTGCCAATTGCCCTACGAAAAGGTTAAAGATAGCATATTGCTTATATTGTTCCATTCCCAGGACATACTAAGGTGAGTGTTCTCAATCATCATATATGAGATTTGGTTACTCCTGTCTTTGGGGTTAAATTAATTACATTTCATTGGGTCTTCACCATCAAATATCATTCTGATGGTTTTATCAATCAATACAAAGCTCTATTAGTCGCCAAATGATTCACTTAGGTTTATGACATCAACCATTTTGATTCTCCTCTTCAGTGCAATTAATCTTGATTCATGTTGCCGACCCCACCTGATGTGATAAATGTTTGATGTTGTTGTTGTAGTATTGCCATTAACCATGATGGAATCTGTTACAAATGTTTTTGAGTAATGCCTTCCTTTATAGCGATTTTCATGAGGTTGCTTACATTGAGCAACCTCTTAATATGTTTTTCCAAGAGAGAATTATGTATGTTACTCGGGAAGGCTATTAATGCCTTAATTTGGCAATTTTTATGAAGTCATTAGTGATATTGGCCTCCATGTAAGCTGAACTTTGGCCAGCATGTTTTGAAGTATTAACCAAAATTGTTTTTTTTTTTAATGCGCAAGTACTGCTGCATATCATACAAGAAAAAGCTCTTTGCACATTTTGATGATTTTCCAATCTTGCTTTATACAGTCCATAAATCAAAATCTATGGCGCATTGCGAGAGAATAAAGTTCCCAGAAAAGCTATGGCTGAAGTTACCGTTAGTCAGCCCCCATTCATGTTCTCTACTTACAATGGGCTCACTTTTTGCTGCATCAAAAACAAAATATAGCCGATAGTTTTGTAAACTTTTCACTGAGATTTTACCATTTCTTCATAGATGCTTCCATTAGATTTGGCACTCTTGAGTGTCTTTACTCTCTTTTCCAAGTTTTGGTGAAGCCATGTAGCACTTTATACAAATGAACTTCTCTGGTACTTTATCCTGATCATTAACACCTGCACATCTCGTATGTTGCCAAACTCCACAGCCATCACACGCCATCATTCTTTCTCCATCATCGTCCTTCGCACCACACAGGCAATCAACCTCCCAACTTTCAATTCCTCTTTCCATCCTGAAACGACTGAGCTTTCCATGTCCTGCCAGACACCTTCCCCTGATCAGAACTACGCCTTTAGTGTTTGTTGGTTGCTTGATTTTAGAATCAGAAACTGTGTTATATCCTACCACCTGTTCAGGTTGGAATCTTTGAAAAACAATATAAGTTTCCCTGAATGCTTTCGCAACCTGCAACTTGAGGTCGGCAATGGCGGCATTGGCTGGCAAGACCACAAGTTCAGGTGGTGGAGATGTGTATTCCGCCGGCTCATCGTATAGCTCAACATTACACCAAATATGTGATTCAGATGGGTTCGACGATGGCGCAAAAAAGGTGAGATGTTCATCAAAGTGTTTGACAAAATGCTTGCAGTCCAAAATTTTTCTAGCTGAACTGAGAATAGATTCCCTTGTTTCTTTAGGCTTAAACTGAAGCATAGTTGCTGGATCAAGCATTCCATCATATAGAGATTTCAAATGCCGAGTGAAATGATCAGATGACAACTTGATCACTCGCCTTTGGACATCACTAACCAATTGATCATAAGATTCAAGCCTGCAAAGGTACCACAGAAAACTCAATTTAGAGAGAGGATATAGAAGAAATTGAATGCGAGATTTACATACTATTCTATTTACATATTTAACACCTAAAACTTTAATATTACATATATATCATTCATAGTTCATTTTTAAATCAAATATGTGTGGCATATTTGATATTAAAATAGTATAGGGTGGTATGTATGTAATATTAAAATTTTGGGTGTTAGATATGTAAATAGGATATTATAAAGGAGAAATTATTGTGTGCGGAATCCGAATGCATTCAGATTCCAATCACTGCTTGCCACATTAGCGGATGCACTCCAATGCCCAGTGCATCCAGTGACGTGGCGCATGGTGATTGGAATCTGAATGCATTCGGATTCCACACATAATAATTTCTCGTTATAAAGTGGTATGTATGTAAATTTCCCTAAAAAAAGGGAAAAATAGAACCTGAATTCAATGGCATTCGTCTCCTCATTGAACCGGGACTGAACTACTAATTGGTCATCTGTGATTTTGCCATTGAGTCCTTTGAGACAGTAATCAAGCAGTTCTGGGGATCCAGCCGAACCACTTGTCGCGCCCTTAAGGGCTCGCCAAGTAACCCAATGAGATCTGCCCACAGCCCTAAGAACCTTCACCATGACCTCCTCCATTCTTTCCATCTCTTGCTTGCTCGATGAGCTCAAAGCCCCTGCTGAAATAACCTGTGGAAATTTCTTTCTTGGAGAAGAGAGATGACATAAATGGTCATGAGAGTCTTGAAGAAGGTGATTGACGTAGGAGAAAAGATCCCTTAAAGTTAGTAACTGTTTGTCAGAAAGGGAGCAATATAATGCAACTGCGTTCTGTAACGTAGTGCGTTGCGTTCTGGAGTGGGAGGAGAAGAGGGATAAGGGTACGTTAGCGAGAGTATCCACAGCTTCTTGGTATGCTTTTGCAGTAACTCCAAAGCTACCTGCGCCAAATTTGTAGCCCCAATTTCCATACCATGGTTGGCCACAAGTTACTGCGTTGAGCAGGCGGTACTCCATTCCATGTTTCTTTGATATGTCCATAACTGTAACTTTCCTGCATTTTTTTATTTGACAAATTGATGCATCAATATATAGTAAAAATGAAGTAAACGAATTACTCTTATCATACGACCTGAGCCCACTGCACTTTCATTTACCACCACAAATATAAAAAATAAAATGAACTTTAGAAAATCATGGTTTTATATTCATATATTTTGAATGAAAAAAAAAAAATCATATTCTTAGGAATTCTGTTAATTCGTCAAGTTAAAATTATATTAATTTCTAATTAAATTCAATCAAATGTTATAATTTAAAAAATTCAATCTTTTTTCAAACATAATTTCTACTTTCATGAAACCAATTGAATGTTAAAGTAAAAATTATATATAATTTCTACTATTAGAAGTATTTTAAATGTTCTCAAGATATATTAAAGGAAATTGTGTGAGAGGTGAAATTATTTTGTTATCTAGAGGCGAATTAGAACACGTCATGTCACTCTTTTATTGTGTGCCACTGTTTGTCAGGTGACGTAATGATTGGCATCCAGATAGTTGTTAGATGTCCGCATGAAATATGAGAGTGAGAGAGAGATCTCCTCATAAAAGAAAGTAATACTTTTCCTCCCTCTAATTTTACTATTATGTTCTTGAAACATAAAGATTCAAACTCTTCAACATCATTAAAAATGGTAGCACACAATTTCAGAAATGCCTAAAATTACTTGATCAATAAATCAGATGTCTAAATATTTTAATGGTGAATAATTTTCATCGAATGAGAAGCTATTTGCGATTTTTAATCTTTGAAAGAGCATAAAAAAATGAAACACCACAGATATTTATAAAATATTTAATGATTTGATGGATGAAATAGAAAAAAAATCACTTTGAGTTTGAAGTGCTAGGTGTGTTAAATGTATAGCATCTCGAACGGTATCTCTCGATTGGCAAAATTGGCCTAGAGGCACTCAATTACATAGCCCTACGTTGGATACTCATACTCACACCCAACCAACCACGTACTCACCCATACTCAATAGACATGGGTGGGTTACCCATGGCCTCATAAGTGGGTATATATAAGTACTCAACATCAGGGGACAATGATTTACATTGCTAATCACCATATGCATGTAATATATTATAAAAATTTGAAGTATTAAAAAAGGGCAACAAACCTCAAGGCCATTAATCTGTGGCAAGAAACGTGGAAAGTGGGTGGATGTGAGTAGGTCTGGCATTCCGAAAGTCATCATAGGTGGGCTTGGATGGGCAAAGCCCGCCAGCACAGAGCGTGGGTACCCAACTAGGACCCCATATAGGCTTTGCAATCAAAACACCATGAGCTTGCCTTTTGCACCCATAGCAAAAAGATAGCCCTTTAATATAACTCCATTTAAATTAAATGAAGCCCTATGGCATGCTGCCAGGTTTGTCTCATTTTGCCGTCTTGTTTATTTTACTGTCTATGTTTCTGATAACTAAAATCTGAAATATATAATTATAGACTATGAATTATAAATTTTCATTTTTTTTTTATTTTTCTTATAATTACTTTTTAATCTCTTTTTTTTTTTAATATTCAAAATATAAATCATTGAGACTTCGGCTTCATTTGGGATAATTTTTTTTTATTAATTTTTAAAACAACTTACTAAATAAAAATTTTTTGAATTAAATTTTTTTGTACTAAGATACTATTTTAAAAAGTAGTAAGAAAATTGTACCAAACAAAACCTTACACTTAGGCTTTGTTTTGGACAGCTTTTTTCTTGCTTCTAAAAACAACTTTTTAATAAAATTAAAAAATTTGTACTAGGTAATTGCTTTAAGAAATAGTAAAAAACCCGTCTCAAACGAAGCCTTAATTGTGTGCCTAAATTTTAAGAAAAAGAGGAATATCATTGACCAATCTGAGGCTTCATTTGGGACAGCTTTTTCTGTTGCTTCTTAAATCAATTTTTTAGTACAAAATTAAATTTTTATATTAGAAAGCTGCTTTAAGAAGTAACAAGAAAGTCGTCCCATACGAAACCTAAATCTAAATAAGCATGAAATTTAACTATCAATGGCCAGCAGTATAGTTTCAACCAAGAATAGAAGCCAAGCAAAGCCAAAACATGCATGCAATAAACCAACAAGCATGTCAACATTTTCTCAACAGAGACCAAATGCAGAAAACACAATAAAACAAGAAAAAAAAATGCTGTTAATCTTCTTCCATACCTGACTCGAAGCATCTTACATAAGCGGTCCCAGAATCCCATTATATCAGATCCTGTTAAGTATCTTGAACCACCATCTCGACCATTCACTCTCAGCAGATGCCCATAACCATTTGCATGCACTAAACCATGCAGTAAATGTGTAGGATCTTCGAGCTGATTATAAGCCCAATCTTCAGAAATTTCAGCTGTAATATCATGGTTGCATGAATGGCATCTGCAATAATCAAAACAGGAAAAAAAGATTTTATTTTGCTGGTTCAGATCTTCAAATAGAAATGAATTACCATAAAATATTGCACCAAAAGAACAAGAAGTTTAAGCCTAAATGAGCACTTTAGGTAATTATCCACTATTTCATTATGGCTAACATGCCTAGCCATTAACAATAAGCCTAAATTTAAGAAAAGTTTCTCTTCAATTTAGAAACTAATTTTCAATTGATTTGAGGAACAGAGTGAGTAACACCATAGAGTGGCTGGAATACAATCATCAATCTGTAATTGAGCATCAAATGTCAATGCAGAGATGCTATTGAAATGGCAGCAAAATGTTTCTTGTAAAATCAAGGGCCAGGATATAGCATAACAGAAGCTAGAAGAAAGCAGATGTGTTGTCCATGAGCGCTGTGGAAATCGCTTGCAGGTGAACTCGGCGTCTTTCGTTCTCTTGCAGTTTGAAGAGGGCCTGCAGAGATCTGGATGAACCTGTTCATCTAATAAAACATTTTTCAACCTAAAAAGTATCCAATTTGAAGGTTGAAATAGACTCTATAGCATTCCAATGGATATTTTATTCCATTAAATACCTGCAATCAGAGTTTTACAACTGATGATATCACCAAATGATATGAGGAAACTCCATTTTATAGAGATTTCCCATGCTTGTGAGAGGGTGAAAAGTCATCATCACAGAATCATAACAATCAAATAACATACCAAAGCTATCCTTTTGGGTAAAGCAAATACAATGCCAAGAGAAGCAACACCTTTAGAAGCAAATACAATGCCAGATTTGATTTAAGTAGGATTTCATATATCCTCTAAATCCGGGTTTTGGAAATCCTGAGGGGCTTAAATCCTAAAAACTGTTTGATAATATTCATAATAAATTCTCTTAAATCTCATGTGACTATTTGGCTATAGAGTAGGATTTACCCAGCGAACTCTTCACTAGCGCCATGGGTTTCATAAATCCCGCAAAATATAGGATTTTGGAAATCCGGGATTTAGAGTGAATCGGCGGAATTTTTCATCTACAATGGATTTCATTTGCCGTAAGATTTGATTTTGCATTTTAGGCCATTAGGCTGGATTTCGCTTAAATCCGCCTCAAATCCGGCCTAAATTCTGCTATCAAACAGCCCCTTAACATAAGTCCGCCCACAAAAGAAACTGACTGGTAAACCAAAAGCATAAGAAATCTCTGATGCCCCTCACTCCATAAGAAACAGAAGTCTGGACTTAACACAGGAATGACCTCTACCAATAATTTATAACCAAACGTAGCTAAATAAGTTTATATATCCATCATCAAGTTTGCTAGCATTACAACCATGTATGCTGCAAAGCTAATAAGCCATAAAAATAGTCCTGAAACAAGTACTAGATAGCTATGTTACCACTGAATGCTGACAACACAAACGAATATATTGGTGTAGATGAAAAACATAAAAAAATAAGAATGGTAGGATCCGAAGTCTTTAAATGCATTTTCATGGACATTGAAATGAAGGCACAACAAATAAGCAATGTTTCACCACCATATTTTAGCATGAAAATCATGCTAAATAGAAGACAACCAAAGGAAAAAAACATACACCCAAATTTTTCAGAAGCATAAAAAATGAACTTATAAAAGTTTCATCTAGGCTGCAAGCCATAATGAACAAGTTAGAACAAAAATGTAAAATAATGTCCAGTCAAAAGTTCAGGATTGAAAAATAGGATCTCATTGTCAAAATCTATAACAACCATGCACAATACACACTTCATCGTATATACCAGTTGACCATAATCAGATATAAGCTTCATGGGACACAACTCTTTCAATCTCCCATCTCTAAATAAGAAGTGCTTCATCCAATTCTAATTTCCAATAAAAGAGCAATAGGCAGGTGAAAGCATTATAATAATTAAAAAAAACACAATGGCTAAAGAATAAGGGAATACAACGCATCTATGCACAGGAGAAACATAGACCCTTCAAAAGTTGAACAAAATTTCATGATATAAATTGTTTATATGGTTACTGAAAAAATTCACTTTCGTGGAACATGCAAGGGTACAGCCATAGTAAAAATACTCTACTCCCTTACAGAATAATGAATAATGGGGGCCTTAGATCTACAAAAATGAGTATTACTATAAATAAAAGATTAAAAGTGCTTTGATCTTTACAAAATGAAACCATCCATAAGACTTTAACCGTCACACTCATCCAAATTGAAGAATACTCTGCCAGGTCAATCAACATCCAAGCTCTAGTCATAACTAAGACAGAAAACGGCTCTAAAATTCTGTCTGGGTCGTAAATCAGGTCGAACTGCAACCCAGCTATTAATCACCCAATGGAGCACTAAAACGGAGGAACAAGGCATGAAAAGACAACTTCTCACCGTGAATCCAACCTCTGCAATAAAGCTCCACAACACAAGCACTTCTGATGGGAGGAAGACAATGGATTAGCATTATTCCGAATTATGAAGTGATAACGCTTCCTGCATACAGGGTGACAACTCCAACCTGAAATTACGCAAGCAAAATCCACTAAGCATACCAGTCAATAAAGGTAAGCCTAAAATAAGGGGGGAAAAAAAATCAAAGTAACATGTACAAATAGGTATCATCACATATGAAGCAGTTGAGGAAATTGAATTAGCAGATGTTCCATTTGCACTGTCAATATTATCGGTTTGGATTTCAGCTTTTAGAAAATTTAGCAGCACAACAAAGTTTGTATGATCAGAGATGAAAGTGTAACAGAGCAAGTTGTTATGAAATGAAAACTAACTAGAATAATAGAAAAGCAAGCCTAATAAAAAGGCAAGGATAGTCTTTGCCCTTAGAACAGAGAGTGTCCCCTCTGTCGAATTGAAAGATAACTTTTGAGGCATTCTTTTTCATTCCTAATCAAAAGGCAAGGATAGTCTTTGCCCTTAGCATCATTACTGTTAACAATAGCTCTTACTCCTTAACTTAAAACAATAACAAAGGGGTCAGATGCCTTCTTTTAGTTCTCACTATACATTTTCTTAAAATAACTGCTAGTTTTCATAGATTGTCAAATGACAAACATGAACTAAACTCATTTACTAAACAAAGTACAGCTAATATGTCTTGTCACAGCACTTTGAAAAATTCAAAAGGAGCATGAAAAAGGTGGATAATAGAAATACCAGCAAATTAAAAGCAACAACAGCTATGGTCGAGAAGATCGAAATGATAAGTAAAAATTGAAGTTAAAATGGGAAATCATATAGAACGAAGCAGTGGCATATGGAGTAAGATTTTGGAAAACATGTTAGGGTCTTGGGGGTGGATGATGAAGAAACCAATAATGGCAGTCACGATAATGGAGGTTGATAATGATGAAGCCTGAAGGAGCTCAAAGAATGCTATGAGTCATCTGACATGAACACCACAGGTAAGGAAGGTGTAACTGACATTGGCAAAAAACAAGAATTGCTCACGGGCAGATGTAATGAAAAAGAATTTCTATAGTGAAGGAATTAATTCAAATCAGATGAGACAAGTTTGTGTAGGAGAAGAAAGGTGAAGGTGATAGATTGGACTGTGGATGCTGACAGTATTATCACATATAAAGGGAATATGAATGGGACACCTCAGATGAATACTCTGAATAGGAGCACTCAGTTTTGAGACAGACTTCTGGAACTATGAAGAAAGTTATCAACAGACCCAGTTGCTGAAGATTAAGAATCAATGTATCAAACTTGTTTCTTACAAATGAAATTCTGAGAAAAATCAACCTGCTCTTCCTGGAGTAATTTTTTCTGTTAAAACTTCTTACACTGACTAGCGGACAGATTCTACAATACAATCAAAGCTTTCTTTTGTCCCAAGAAAGTGAATTGACATTCAAGATCATATATTTCAACATTATATTCATGCCATTCATAATTTAGAAAACGACATTTAATTTAAAATTAAAGTAATAATTTTTGGCTTTAAGAGGCATATAATCAATGAAAAACAGAAAATCTAAATAGAAAAGTTAGAAGAAAAGTCATGATGATCATCACAAGAAAGAAAAAATTGTCTTTGCGCAGTTCATCTTACTTAGCCAATTAATTATGCCTTTAGAATCCCAATAAAGACGCCTCGAATTCAGTCGTTTGCATGTAGAGATTAAATTCGCACAGAGTAACCCAAAAAAAAAAAGGAAAACTTTAATCTGTTATTTGAGCTTTCCAGCCTGGGACAAGATGAAAAGCCAACAAGCAACCGGAAATAGCCGGTAAGCCTTCTTCAAAAATTCAACATCAAAATTAAGCAGCATCACGGGTTACGAGCCACGTGGAGCGTGCGAGAGAGGACCCAAACAAGTCAACCAGAAGTCATCACGCCACAAATATTATTACGTTCTACATTTTATAATTATTATAATTAAAAAATTCTAAATTGTCGAGAAAAATCGGGAAAGATCGCCGACTCACCCACAACTCGGCACTGATCGCAGTAGACGGATTTGGAACGCGCAACGTCCTCCTCGACAACATCGAGCTCCACCGTAGCCATAGCAGCAGAACTTGCCGGAGACAAGGGCTCCTCGCCGTCTCCAGCGGTGGCGTCACCAAGGCCGAACCCGACCCGCCATGTTAGCAGATGGCCGGCTGGAGGAGGCGGTGACGGAGGCAAGATCGACGGTGGAGGTAAAAGGCGGGCGTGGCGGGAGAGGAACACCTGTACGTTGGACCGGAACGGACCGTCGAGATCGCCGGTAGCAGCATCGGAGGGGAAGGAGAAGAAGTCGTATAGATCCGCCGTGATGCGGCGCTTCGCTCTCTTCACCGGCCGGCCATTGACCACCATTTCTCCAGATCCCGTGAAGGATACAGCCGGATCTCGAGCTTCCAGGGCCAGATCACCCCTTGATCGAACGGAATCAAACGTAGAGCTCGTCTCTATATGGCGATCGCGGCGCGCTTCTTCCTCCGGGAAGCGAGGCGGCGGTCCACAACCCGAGTTGGTTCGAAATTAGGGTTTAGTTAGAGAGAGAGACGGACGGTTCGGGTTGGGAACTAGAGTTAGATAATCGGGTTAGGGTTACCCGAAAAGAAAAAGAGCGGGAGAAGGGTAAAGGGGCCGTCGATCCGTGCCCTAATTTTGGGTCTTTTTTGTTCTTTCTCTTTCTATCTCTAAGGCGGTGGGAATGGCAATTACCGAGCGGGAGTTCCGTGCGTCGTTTTACTTTAATAGAGGAACTCAATTTCTAATTTTCTATGGTGGAGCTTACCATTTTTTTTTTATATAATAATTTTTTTCTCATGTATTTATTCTAATCTTTCTTCTTTTATTATTTATGATGGTTGTAATAAAAAATTCTAAATATTATTCATTTCACAATTTTATCCTTTTTTATGATTTATATGATATTACAATTTTTTATTATATATTTATCCTACGTATCATGTGTTATTAATATATGAGAATGCGGAGATTTAATTTGATCATACCTTATGATGTTTCTCACATATAATATATCATGCATACCATTCTTCATGATTAATATGCTAGGCAAATGACATACGTACGTATGAGATCATGCATGCTTTTTAGTGGCGAGTATGTGATCTTGTAAGATTCATGCATGCTTTTGTTCATATGACATGCAAGATTTCATGTGATACTTTACGATGCATGTAACATATATGGATTATTTTGTGCAATAGGTTACATGACATTAATGTATATGAATGATAGTTTATCTTGTTGTATATGTCATGCACTTATATAACATCTTTAGATGATGTGCATATGGTGCAACTTGTTTTTCTTGTGATGTGATTCTTGCATGTGACATGCAATGCATTATATGATTTTACTTGTTATTTCATATGATTGTCCATGTTACTCTTTATGATGAAAATGATGTGCATAAGAAAGTTTTCCAATGATAATAACATACATATATTTCTTATGTTTGTGATAACATGATTCAAGTGATATATGATTATGCTTTAGCATAATGATGGACATTATATTGACATGATGGTGGATGTCATAATAATGCATGTGATATTGCACATATTTCCACTAGTTTCACAGTAAGTTCATGTGATTCATGAGCCACTCACCATTTATTTGATGATAATGGAATCTTGAGTGGTGTTAGAGAGAGAGAGAGAGAGATTAGAATATTATGTTGGGTTTAATTTAAACATATATATATATATATATATACTTTGTATATATGTTTATTTGAGGAATTATAAGGTGCAACTTGATGTCTTCCTCCTTTTTGAAAACGTTTGGTGAGTCTTCCATCTAAATAATATTTTATATCTTTTATGTCACTATTCTTCTTTGAATAATAATATTCCATCAATTTCATTTTAATGTTGTCATTAGTAGCACATCTTCCATCTCCATAAAATGGAATGTGGGCTACTCACCATATATTGTATGCTCCATGAACCATATCAAGGATATATTTTTATTTTTTTAGTATTATATGTGAGTGGAACAAAAAGGGGTGTGATTCTATTCTATTTGCGCTTTTTTACTACTACAAAGGGTTAGGTGGGCTTAGCTTACTTAAGAAGCTTTCTTAGTTGGTTTTATCTTTTCCTTTTTCCATTTTGTGAAAAGGAAAATTGAAGAAGAATGAAGGGGGATAAAAAGA